TGGTTCACTAAGGAACGATGAAGATACCATTCGCAAGCTCTGTAACTTGAACCGTCATTAATGATATATGAGTTCCTTTCAAATTCTTGGATTTTCCGAGTGGGAAGAGGGACTCAACAATGGGAGGAACATAAACGGGTTCGAGGATGACAACAATTGTAGCCTTTCATCAAAGTTCTTGTATATTACTCCCTCTCTGCTCCTAATATAAGACTCATTTTGTAGTGTGAATTATACTACAAAATAGGTCTTATATTTATACTATAAATGGGTTTTATATTTAGGACTGGAGGAGTATTTTGCCCTTAAGATAACTGGGTTTCTCAACCATTATCAAACCCACTAATGTTCCTGCAATCGTTGAGTCTTTCCTCGCGCTTGGCAAATCAAAGAATTTTGAAGACCTCATCTACTGTTAATGCAGTTTAAATTACGGAGGAGCTTGTGAACAGCATCTTCATTGTTTTTGCAATGAATCGTTGTATCAGTGAGATGAAACCAACTTAGGATTCCACCAATACATAGGCTAAGTTTGGCCCAAATGGTTTGAAACACATAGCCATGCACGTAGGGTTGAATTCGAAGCTTGCTTCATTTAAACGATGATTTCCTCGTAATAACAATGAACATCCTATACGAGTGCATATTTCAAAGATACATTGAAAAATTATGTTGATTATGAATATGTTAAGTCCCTTCACTCACCTCTATTTTTTACGTGAAATCTGTGATTCAGCCTGCTCAGGGTAAGTCTTAAAAGAGGAAACAAAGATGAGGAAGACAAGGGGAGACATTTGGAGACGAATCAAGACCGTGCGATAAGGCGACGTGGAAATTACCAATATTCATGATGAGAATATATATAATCAACTGTTCTTATTATTGAAAGAATTTTTAACATTATTTGCAATATAAAATTATTCACAAGTCAATTCATCAGTATTTAATTTCAATATAAAATTATAGATAGGAATATTATTCGTAAATCATGAACAATTTCCAATACTCCGCTTCACAATCTGGAAACCCCCAAAGAACCATCCGTTCTTCTCCTCTAATCTCTTCATGAAACCTCATCCCATTCCTCTTTCTTCCATTCTCTCTCTAGCTCGACTCCTCTCTCTTCTTATAGGCTTCGTCAAACAACCTTCTGACTCTCGTGCACGATGGTTGAATATAAGGACAGCCCCTAATTTCAATGAAGAACATGCCAAGAGCTACCCTTTCAGCGGCAGGAAATTGTGCTTATTGCCATCGTCATTTTTTCTTCATTGTCATCTTAATAGTTTACATCCACCTACGACACGATTACTAGTTTGACGTACGTACAAGCTCGCTATCGCCACCGCTCTCTCACCTTTTATACACACACATATATATACTCTTCCTGTCCTTAATATAAAACTTTTTTAACTAATTTGATTAGATTAAGGAAGTTAGATAAGTAGTTAATTATAACAATATAATATGTTTTTTCTAAAATACTATAATCTTCTTTTTTAATACATTTTCTTCCTCACTTATTTGATTATGGTTGAAAGAATATCCATAGGAATAATTTAAAAAAATTGATAAATATAAGAAATATGTCTTATATTTAGGACTAAAATTAACTAACAATTAGGTCCTATATTAAGTACCGGAGAAGTATATTATATTGAACACCACCACTCCTGGCATGGCCTCGTCGAGCAGTCTTCTTGATTCATCTCTACTCATGTCTCTCCCCACCTTTGTGTACTCTTCCGAGACTCACCCTGAGCAAAACTCAATCTGTTTCGACCTATTCGAACTCAGACAAGCAGCTTGCGAATTATTCAACCTGCTTGGATTGGAGTGGCCCTATCTCTCCCAATTTATATACTGTCTTTGACTATTGTGGAGGGCTAATTTCAGAGTTTCTATCTTCTCTAGCGTGATGTCCAAAAACATACACCCAAGTCATCACATTCTTCCTTTTCTTTTTGCTCCGGCTTAATTCCAGCTTGGCCCTTTCAGAACGTACATGGCAAGAAGAAAAACATCATGATGACCAAGTTAAAGCTCTCAGGTACATAAAAATAGCAGCCATAGCTTGGACATACTCTTTGCGAGTGTGATCGGAGTTTTGATTCCAATCATTCAAAAGTTTGTCACTGCTTTAAGTCCTCATATAGGATCTTCTTCGTATATATTGTCCACCGATCGAATCCATTCACGTGCTCCCGAGCCAACGCACTTGATATAAGTTGACGTGTTCTTGCTTGAACGAACATCATATCCATGGAAAAAAGATCCACTTCACTGGTTTTGTGGCTATGTATGTGCACGGCCATGAGAACCCTAATGGTAGATGCTTTCGCACTTTGTACTTCAAGAAATTTCATATGATACCAAGGACACTTGACGCAACACATATATAGTCATGCTCATAGGTCGTCACATTCTTCTACTTCATCTCAACTTCGTCAAACCAAAAAAGATGAAACAAATTAAAACAAGTTGAGTGAAATTAAAAATGGTGACGACCCACATCATGCGGCGTACGTGAGTGTGATGAACATGTTTTTTCTGTCTCCTGTTGCTCTTCCTTTCAATCATATATATGGAAGTTATGGCTGCTATAGTTTGAAGCCGAGAGCCATAACTTGGTCATCATGATGTTGTCTTCTTGGCATGTACCTTTTGAAACAGCTAAAGCTGGAGGCAGGAGCACAAAGAAAACGAAGAATGTAATGCTTTTGGGCATGGCGCTGGAGAAGGTAGAAACTCCCCAACACTCAAAAGACAAAGAGTATATAAAACAGGTAGCAACTCACTGTGGACACTCAGGAGAAGTGGTCAGAATACTCTCTGACATTTTATTCAATGGAAAATATGATGAGCCTTATACAAATATAATCTTCTGATCCTAAATATAAGACTCACTTTATAATATAAAATACTATAAAGTTGATCTTATATTTCGAATCGGAGGAGTATATACACACGGGCTTTGCACCTTCGTTAACGGCGTGTTTCTGCCAACTGTTTGCAAATTTCTAGTCACCAACATAACCACACACACTCGCACATATATATGTAAAAGGCAAAAGGCGATGGTTTCTACGTAAAATAGCTTGTGTAAATTGAACAACTTTATTTCCTCTCCAAAGCTTGAAGAAAGAATGAATAATTTGTTCGTAGGTAGTTTTAAAGGATCAATCTTATAGAAAAGATGGCGGCGAGACATCCGATGTTTAGTTCCCCCCCCCCCCCCCCCCCTCTTCCCATTTTCGTTTCGGGCCGAACGTGCATGGACCATCTCAATTTGTTTCTGATTTAACCTTGAAAATCCAGAGCATGCGCTGTTATAAAACAACAATACTGTATTTTTACCATCTAAAAACAATTTTAACCGTATAAATTTAAAATTTTAACTTATAACGCTTAAGTAACAAAATTATTATTATTATTTTAAAAAACTTACATTTAAAGAATTGTCTTTATTTTAAACTGGGAAAATGACAAAAAAAGAAACTAAAAATTTGTAAATGCCAAATAAGGAATGTCAACAAAAATTTGTTGTCATTTGTAAATTCAGTGTTGTCAATACCAAATAAAATATTGTTACCAAATCTGATTTGGGATTTAATAATTTTCAACTTCTTTTTTTTGTCATTCTCCCTTTTGAATTCTATATTCATTGAAATAAATTTTTCAAAAATATAAACAAAGAAAAGAAAAGAAAGTTGTCTTCTAAAAGTTCATGGCTTTAAGATATTATAAATAAACAAGTACATCAAGATGCCGCGATGTGAAGGGAACATTAGCGGTGCGTAGGTGCGTAGGTTTTTATGCCTCATCAACAAGAAGAAAAACTTAATTAGTTTGACAAATGACAAGTTCAGCCAAATGCATAGGTTTTAAATGTGACCCCAGCATAAATATCTTCATTTTTTAAAATTTATAATTTAGATATAACTTTGACGATTGGTTTATCTTGCTTCCAGCTGATCAAATCCTCTTGCTTCAATTGGTGGGATCGATTGTTGCAGATAAGGATGTGAAATGAGTTTTTTTTTTTTTTTAAGTGAGGTATTTTGTCCTTTTTAACCGAATTTCAAAATACCACCTAGGTGCTCCCGTGCCGTGAGATTAAATTAGGCAAATTTAACGCACCATTCCGAGATTTTGGAAAACCCTGAGGTAAAAATAAAAAATAAAAATGAATATTGACCCGGTCAACCCTGTGTGCTGTGGTCTCCTCTTTTACCGTGATTGACTTTGCTTTTATTCATATTGAAGAAAGCATTTTTGAGTCGGTGACTGGAAGCAAGCTTTTTTATATATTTCGTTCAAATCTATATTATTTTAATTTAGGTCAGATTCAATCATTATGCTTGTGTTATGGTACATATATTATCTTTTGCTTGCTTTTTATTTTTATTTTAATATATTATTCTTCCTCTCTTTTGTATGGAGTCAAGCCAATTTGTCCTTTTCATCTGAAATAACATTGGAAGTCTATTTTTCGCATGTCACTTTCAATGGTTCCAAGTTGCATTATAAGTTTTCGGTGAAAATGAGAATATGATTTCCAATTTAAGTCATTTAAATACGTTCATCTCTGTACACTAGTAAGCATCAGAACTACAAGTCTTCAAGTGTAATATCGAGGTTCATGCCTAAAAAAATTAAAATAGTTTTTAAAATAGGCTTCAAGTGTAACCAACAAGAAAATATGCTATAAACAACGATAAATGATGATTTTCAATAAAATTTCACTCTTATGTTTTATTTTAATTATATTCACTCCAAATATACTAAAAATACTATTAAGCATCAGAACTACAAGTCTTCAAGTGTAATATCCAGGTTCATCCCTAAAAAAATTAAAATAGTTTTTAAAATAGTCTTCAAGTGTAACAAACAAGAAAATATGCTATAAACGCAGATAAATTATGATTTTCAATAAAATTTCACCTTTATTTTCTATTTTAATTATATTCACTCCAAATATACTAAAAAAGTTAAAATAGTTTTTAACTTATAAAAGTTGCAATGGATATAAATATTAATCACTTAAAAATATTACAAATAGTTAAAAGTCAAGCCCAATAAGCTAAAGCAGACATCAAACCAGCACCCAAAAGTAGAGAAATATTTGCTCCCAGTTGAAGATAAGTGCTGTTTTGAAATCTTTCAGTTGTAAAATCTGCAGCTAAAAGATCAACAAGTGCCATATATATTAAGATTCCTGCCGACGCTGCGTTAAATATTCCTTCGATAATAAGAGCTTTTTGACTATTCTCTTCGTATCTGCTGCTAATTGCCATACCAATTCCTATTCCTACTGGGGTAGTCAGAGCAAAGAACAATCCCATAATTACTGTAGCGTTGTTCTTGAATTTTGCCTGCAATTATATATACACACACATATTTAGACGATGAATGAGATATTGAACAAATCTTGTAAAACTTTGTCTGCAGTAAAATGAGGATGGACTATTTTTGTTTTGGATGCTGTCAAAAGTTCCTTCAATTTCTATACATGAACAAAAAGATATTTATAACAAAACAAAAGGTAAATGTTACTCCCTCCATTCTTAAAATTATCAATCTTTTCAATACTAATGTTAATTGATTAATTAACTACAATAAATTCTAACATCATCTTATCATCTATCTTATTTCTTCTAATCCCTTTATTCACGATAATAATACTACTATTTTTTGGATTTTGCGAACTAGTTAAGACAATCTTATATTCAGGACAATAGGAAATATTTAAATTATAGAGTAATAGTGACTTTTTTTTTTCTGGGTATCATGGCACTAAGTATCAACTGACTGGAGCTTAACTAACCCAAGTGGAGTCAGGAAAAATCACAAAGATGAGTAAATAAAAAGCAAGCTCATTGATTTATTCGGATAAACAGATGAAAATGAGTTGTGGCCAATGGCATGGGCCACATTGGATTCTCTTTTGGTGTTTTTCCTCATGTCTTGTGACTTTGCCACATATGAAATTGCTTATTATTAGTGACTATCTATTCAATTATGAGAGAAATTTTAGTTAGATGTCTTGCTATGTATGATTCCCTAATATATTTTTTTTTAATATAACTCAGAGTATCCTGAAGTCTGTCAGGCTAAGAGTGTTAAGATTAAAACCCTTTCAATAACTGTTTTTCCTAAGATTTAAAGTTATTTTCTTCTCTTTATGGGGTAATATAATAAAACTGCTTACCATCTTAACCAATAATTTATTAGTGATTCCTTGATAATTTTGAATTACTCTTTTGGACATTTACGAAAAGAGACACACCTGAGTGATACAGCTTCCAAGACCCATTCCTTCAAAGAATTGATGAAACGTTAAAGCAGCCACCAGAGGCTTTATGTGTTTTGCATCCTCAGATGCTCCCAAACCTATTCCTATGATCACCGAATGCACTATTATCCCCACCTCCAACACCTGCATGCATATATATTATCCATTTTGTTCATTTTAAATTAATATTGTGTGTGTGTGTGTGTAAAAGCACGATGTTAAACTGAGTGATCTTATAAATATATATATATATATATATATATATGCCTATACCTGTGATATGACTCTGTGACGAAGAAGCTGAGATGAATCTGAGGACCCATGAGCATGACCATTATTTGTTGCGTGAGTATGATGAAGATGAACATGTCCCTCGTGTCCTGTTTGTTCCTCAATCATATGAACTTTCTTGAAATACGCAGTGGCGAAAGCATCCACCATTAGGGTTCCCATGGCAGCACACATGGCTACAAAACCAGTGAAGGGAAAGTCTGCCCATGGATGTTCGCTCAAGCAAGGAGACTTCAAGTTCTCGAACGCGTCGGGAAGGACGTGAATGAATCCGGTGGACAATATGACGCCGGCGGCAAAGGCCTTGATGAAGAAGAAGAAGTCCCTATCAGGACTTAAGAATGAGACAAACTTTCCGATGACCGGAATCAAAACTCCGATGACACTCGCAAAGAGTATTGAAGCTATGGCTGCAAATTTATACCTAAAAGCCCTGGCTTTGTCGCCAACGACTTCGTCTTCTTTATCGCATGTACAGTTACACTCTGAAACAACTAGGGCTGGAAGAAGAACAAGCAAGAGGAAGACGAAGAAAGTGAAGACTTTGGTGGTTTTGGACATGGCGCTAGGTAGAAGCTGGCCGGAGAAGGAGACAATAAAGTGGGTGTAAGACAATTTTGTGATTTTTATTGGAGAATAGTGACGATGACATCCCTGAGAGCTTTGATACACATTGAACAAATTAAAAACCTTGAAAATATCCGGTGGATGCTTTGAAGTTTAAAGCCAATACAGAAAACATCAAGGGAACAAAGTGTCGTTAAGAAATAGAATTTTTTTCAGAAAAAAATTGAAAATTAATGGTCGATAAAAGTGAAAATATCTTTAAAATATGTTAATTGTATTCCAAATTTAGGTATAAGTTTAGGAGTTCATTATAGTTTTTCAAGATGAAAAGATTTAATGTTTGAAGGGGAAAAGAAATAAAACGAATCAAGCCACTTTTACGCATAATAATTGTTTGGTGGATATATTTCAACATATCTTATATCTGCGTTTGTATCATATTGTTTCCTAGGCACCCATAAACCATGACAGAAACCTGTGAGTTCCAAGCTTAGCCCTTTTTTAGACTATACATTAAGACATAAACCTTGAAACACATATTCTTGATCAAGGTAAAAAAAAAAAAAAACCTCATATTCTTGATGGCAAAAGAAAAACAAAGAAAAAAAAAGAAAAGGACTTATTCTTAGTAAACTTTCGTTGAATATAATTAATACAGGAAAGGCAAACTTTAGTCGCTATACAGGTGGTATGTGTTATATCTAATCCTTAGTATAAGAACTAGTTAACTAATTTGAGTAGGTTAAAAAAAATTAGTTAAATTAATTATTTGTAATAAATGAGTATTGTCTTTCCTAAAATACTCTTACAGTCTTACTAATAGCTAATCATGTATATTAGCTAGAATTATTATTGATGAAATATTTAACATGTACAGCTATTACAATGACTACCTTAATAAAAAAGATAAATATGATAAACAAAATAAATTGGAATTTATTTTTAAGATCAAATTAAATATCAAATTAGTTCTTATATTAAGTAACGTTTGCTAATTTTGTTTAGTTTGACTATCCAATTGATGACATCCGTATATATAACGAAATCCACAGAGATTCCTATCCAAAACGCGTACTTTCCACTCATGAACCTTCCAATATTGTAAAACATTTAATTTTATAATTTCTGAAATTAAAGTAGTCTTTGTTATTGTTTACAACCACAAGTCTACTGTTTTAAGATTTTTGTTAGAATAATTTTGCTCTCGTTTTGGACCACACGGTTACAATTGCTAGCTGCCAGTCGTCATTTTGTTTTGTTGGTCACCTTCATTGAATTTTCCTAATGCTCTACTACATATTATTGACCGCACAAATAATAAATAATAGATAAAGCAAATTATTGAGTGCTCCTGCTATTCTTTGAAAAATTTAAGAAACACAAACGTTAACGTAACAATTAAAGAGGATGCTCTGCAAAAATTCCGATTCCAAATCAACAAGATCCATCCATAAAATTTAACAAGTAGAGGTGGGCTGGGATTATAATAAATAAGTCACATCATTTATAATTTATGAATTGTGTGTCTGTCTAAACTATTAATTATTATAGTATATAAAGTAAAAAGATTTTTTTTATTAATATAAGTTAATTCATTAAATTTATTGTACGAGTATACAATTTTATTATTTTGTAAACTATTGTTTTTTTTAAAAGTGTATATATTGAATAAAAATAAAATAGAAAAGTTATTAAATTTAAAGACAGGTTAATAACCTGCCAGGTTTAAGATATTTTTGTTGATTATATAATAAAACAAGTTCATAGTATCTTATAATTAGAATTGGCTATGTATCGATAAACTTTAAACAGTCCTCTTTATAGTAGACAAATCAGAATTAACTTATATATGAAAATTATACTTCCTCCACTTATCCAAAAAGAAAACTTTCTCCAATTTTTCCCGTATAATATTCCACTAAGTTTGATAAATCAAGTTCAAACAAATGCAAAGGTTAATAATATATCATACATGAATAAAAACAATATATAATGTGATACATATATAAATATATTCATTTGATTAATTTAATTGGATGATAAGTTCATTCAGCCTTATCAAATCCCCTGCTTAAGAACTCCTTAAGGCATTAAAATAAAATATGATAGCATCTAAAATTTAAAAATACATTTTATCCAATTTGAAGAGACAAGTATTATTTTGCCTTTTCTCGTGCATAAAATCTGCAGCATTTTTTTGTTCGGACTGAAAATCTGCAGCATTTAACAAATTAAAAAGTTGATCCAAGAATAGTTATGATATCTCAATTTGTTTCAGAAAAAATGGATAAACAATACAACAACAATAACAAAACCTTATCCAACTAGGTGAAGTCAGTTATATGAATTGTATGATACCATTGAACTCTATCTAAAGCCAAATCTTTGAATATATAATTAATTAAAAGATCTCACTTAAGAACCTCATTAAGTGTTGTCTTTGGCCTTTCTCTATTCCTTTTTATTAAAAGATTTTATACTGCTTGATCAACTCTTTTCACCAGCGCATCCAAAGGCTTTTTTTGTGTAACACCTTACCTCTATTCACCAGTAGGATTATTTTCTTTCACTTTAAACCACTAAGAGCCAGGTTTCATCCCGAAAAAAAAAGGAGTTTTTTTTTTTTGCTTACTTTCAAAGCAACCTATAACTAATTAAATATATAATTAGCAGGGCTTAACATTCAATACCCTGGCTACTAGTCCGTACAAAAGGGTACATATACTCATATATACAATCTGGGCATAATAAAAACTATATATCAACATGTAGGCTATTCCTATCAATGGCGGTCATTATAGTTAATCTGCCCTTAGTCATCTCCTTATGAAAGAATATTTACATAACAAAATATATACACATTATATCCTTACTCCAAAATAATAAAATACAAGAAGCATTTTAAGCAAAATATATATACACAAGATCTCTTGCTTCTTCTTTCACCTTCAAGATCTATCAATCACTACTCTTTTGCCTTTAGAAGTACTTGCTTTTGCTGTATGACATGAAAAAAGTGATGAGATTCTAAAAAATTCTAGCAGTAAAATTCCTTCATGTAATCATACAAGATCACAAATAAACATGTTACCCAAGCTAGAGAGAAAAACACCTTGCAACCAAATATAATAATTGATGAACAAGCATCATGCACTTACATAGCTGATCGCTAACTATAGTGTCCACATTCCAAAATAAATGGAAACAGTCACATGTTGTCATGACAAATCATATCCCGCAAAGGCAATTTACATGTTCTCATACACAATCAGCATCATGGCACATCCAAATATGAGGCAATTAATGCACAATCACAAGAAAGGAAAAGAGTTACTACTTTTTACTTTTTCTTCAGTACTACCTTCCCCTTGCTTCCTTCTTAGCTTCTTTCTCAATGGACTTGGACAAATATCAAATCTAATATATTTTATAGGCAAGGATATATATATATATATATATATTAATAAGTATATAAATTATTAACTATTGTATTAAAATAACATGTTCATTATAGCTTGAATTCCTTATAATCAATTATATAAACTTGTCTATTTCCCTTATACTTCACAAATTTGTTTTGCTTATCTTTCCTTCTTAATTTGAAGAATTCATTTTTAGGCTCTAATTTACAAAATTCCAGCATCTTTCCCAAATTCCTACATAGGCCAAGACATATATATGTAACTAGATCATTTATTCCAAGTCTTCCAACAATGAATTGGCACCCTTGAATATTTTCAAGGTGCTTATAATTTATAATAACAGCATTCCTTTCTTACGACTGTGAAATTCCAGCTTCACAAACATCATTCTATCCACCATTTAAAAGTCCCCTAGTTTAAAATTACATTTCCTCTTGAAACCCACTTGACCGAAAATACTTTCCATGTATCTATATATATAATTAAATAATTGCCATGTGATTTAGTTTCAGCTCCCACACCATTAACATCACGCCACATCCAGCAAGTCTGACATTTTCCAGATTAAAGTATACTCCCAAAATAATCACCAAGTCACCAAAAGAAGGAGTCAACGTTGTGCAGTCCCATATATATGTATATCGCATAATCTCTCTTCAATTTCATCAAAACCGACACTAAAATAAAAACATAACATAGAGTTTAATTTTAAGATCACAGACCCAATTTTTACACAGTCATAAGCCAGAAAAATCATTCACATCGAGTCCGAACCATCCTCCAGGATCTTCACCCAAATATCATCATTAACATTCTAATCTACCCAGAAGTTTGACAGCAACGAAAAGCAAGGAAAGACTTTGACTTCAAGATCTTATGAACTAGATTCGGCCAGCCATAAACCAGAAGCAAAGGTCAAAACCGACATACATATATATCAACATTAAATTTCTTTCTTCCCAAAACCTCAGAACCCGACATCCATAGCTCCAAAAATTGAGCCCTTGCTTCGGATTCAGAAAACAGAGACGAGTAAAGAACATTTAGACCGAAGAACACACATGCAAGGCATACACACACACACACACACACACACTTATATTTATCAGTTTCGGCCTTCACTTCTTAACTCTGTAAATTCGAAATCCATGAAGCACAACTTAGAGATTTCAAATCCTTATACCAGATTGCTCATGCCTTGCTTCGGAAACATATATAAGAGCAAAAAACTCACATGCAACACTGTCTATCAACATGCAGACCCAAAACTACCATCATACGCTTAAATATTATCATAAAACATAAACTCACCGATCCTCCTCTCCATTCCTTTACTTTCTCTCACTAACCAGACTTTCTCAATCAACCATTGCACCTTATTAAGCCACAGATCCAAGGAAACAAGAGTAGAAGGAAGTTCTGGAGACTCACCTTGGTTGGCAACACGGATTGCATGCAATAGAAACCACCTCCAGCCACTCCTCCTTCACCCTCTCTTTCTCTCGGTCTCCCCCCCGTTCTCTGAACTGTCTCTCTCTCTCTTCTTTTGGTCCCAGACGAAAATGAGAAGAGGAAGAAGGCTGGTGACTTTTGTGAAATGTCTATTATGCCCTTCACTTAATTCCTCATTTCTAATTCTATCATTTCTTTATAATTCTGCAATTATAAAATGAATTCAGAAATTATTCCACGAAATTTTATATGGATTTTCCTTATCCAAAGCTTTCTTGACTCCTAAAATAATTTTCATAAAAATTCCAGGTCAAAAATCAATTCCCAACTATTTTCTTGAATTTTTCAAGAAAATAGCATTTAATTCTAAAAACTAATTCTTAACTCATTTTAAGGATTTTATGCTTCAATTAGCTTCCTTGCCTCATAAAATAAGTTTTTTAAAATTTTCAGCTCAAATATAAACCTTTAACTATTTTTCTTGAAGTTTTCAAAAAAGAGGTCTTAAATTCACAAAATTAGCGTTATAATTATTTAGGTTATATTTTAAGGGCCTTAATCTCAAAAATTTCTCAAATATTTTTCTCTTTCATCATATTTTAATTAAATCCATAAAATTTGAGATATTACACTTTGCGCGTGACCAAATAAAAAATGGAGGAACAGTAAACATATCAAATTTAACCTTGAAAGTCCAGATGTATGTATTGTTATAAAATACCAATACTACCAGTCCGGACTTTTTTTTTTTCCAATTAAAGGGAAAGATAGTAATGACATGAAGGTATAAGTAGGTTTGAACTAGCAATCTCTGATTTTTTTTAAAAAGAGAATACTTATACCACTAAATTACAAAATCATTGGCCCAGTCTGGTTTTTGATATAAGACATCTTCTAAAGATTTCCATAGTCGTAAATATAAATATAAGGTACTTTGCAACACGTTAATAGCATTAAATTCTTTCATTTTTTTTTTCACAGATGCCGTTATTAGTTGTATTATGAGAAGAGATTATGTATTTTCTTTATCCTTATAAAATACTACCCTCAGTCCTTAATATAAAATCTCGTTTGATTTTTATTTTAGTCCTAGTTACAAGACTCAAATCTAGTTTGTCTTTCATATTTATCTTTTTTTTTTTCAAAGTATTCTTTGTAATAATGATAGTTTTAACCAATATACTTGATTAGCAAGGATATTTTAAGAAAGATAACATTTATTTATTACAAATAACTAATTTAACTGATTTTCTTATTCTACTTAAATTAGTCAACTAACTCTTATATTAAAAACTGATAGTAGTTAAAAGTGTCATCTATTAAGGAATGATACTATTGACTCCTTGGCCACAATTAGGAACTTCAAAGCAAGGTAAAAAAAACCGGACCAGACCGGCCGGTTCAACCGAAAAACCGGTGAACCGGTCTTCAGTCCGGTCTGGTTTGGTTGGTAGACCGGGCATAAAAGGAACCGGAAACGAATCGGCTAAACCGGTAAAAACCGGTTTAAAACCGGATAACCGCCGGCTGAGGTGGGTTGTCCGGTCTTTTCCTTTTTTCCATGTCCTACGGGAGGAAGAAGAGGCAAAAAGAGAAGAGTCACAGATAAAACGTATCAGACTTGAAAGAAGAAGAATGAAAGCAAGGAAAAGGAAGAGCAAGATGAAAGGGAAAGACAAAGAGAAGGAGAGGAGCTTGCCGATTGTTTTTGTAGAGAGCCACATCCTTGTTGCTTTTGTTTGAAACCCATTGAAGAAGAAGTGAGTTTTTCAGAGAGAGAGGGGGGAGGAGGAAGGCGGAAGGAGAAGAGACGTGAAGTCGAAAAAATAAAAAAAAGAAAGACGGTAGAGAAAGAAACAGAAGCTGAGGTCTAGTATAATGTGTTCTGTCCAACAAAATAAAAAGCTTGTACAAATTAAAGTCAAGTGTTAGGCCCTATGTATAGGCTTTATTTTGCAGGCCTAGTATAGCGTGTTCTGTCCATTTTTTTCAATTTTTCAAAGCCTCATTTAATTTAATTTTTTTTTATCTCCCATGACATGTAAATTGTAAATACATATTTTATAATAAAAAAAAATGACCGTCTTGCAAAACAATGAGATGAATGCAGTTTCTTTATTATACTACGTAAAAATTTTATAATCAAATATAATATTTTGAATTTTAATGATTAAAAGATTGTAATGATGAATATTTTCAATTATTTTGTTATGTGCTGTAACTAAATTATTGCTGTATTTTTTTATATTTTGTTATAAGTGATTATTAATGTTGTTATATTTTGTCATTATTAATTAAATTATATTATTTTAATATAACCGGTCTGATCCCAGTCTGACCTCGGTCTAACCATTAACCCTTAAACCACTTCCTCGACCGGTTCAATACCCGGTCCGGTTTTTTGTTCCTTGCTTCAAAGTATATATGTATGAAGTCTAGTGTAAGCTGTCTTTTGTTTTTATATATATAACTTAGAATATCTTCAAATCATTTTGGACTTGAGACTAATCTCTGTTGGGCTGAAAGTATTAAGATTAAAATTCTCCCAATAAGTATACTTTTTGATATTTAAACTTGTATTCTTCTTCTTACAGAATGAGACTATTTATTTATTTACTAAAAAACATTTATTATTTCAATCAACAGCTCACTGTAGTGCAAGCTGTCCTTTTTTTATTTTATTTTTTCCAACGCCAACTTGCAAATTGCAGGCCGAAGATCAAAACCTTGCTTAGAATGTCATAGTTACTGGGGTCCTACTCCTGCCTAGTTACTGGTCTCTATAGAATGTAAATCTTTTATTAATATCGAAATAATTTTTTGATAATAATTTTTTTTATCACGACAAGCAGAGGTCACTTCACCTTGTCAGTTGGTTCCTTCTTAGCTGATCAAATCCCCTGCAAAAGAACTCCTTAAAGAATTATATTAAAATGTGAAAGCTCCATTATCTTAACAATTATTTATTTGACTCAGAGACTCTAGCTATGTTTCAAACGGCTCGGTTCATCACAAAATAATAATAATAATAATAATAATAATAATAATAATAATATTGATGTCAATTAAATTGATTTCTCAGATCCAACGTCAATCAAAGAGGCTGGATGTATTTCTACCGGGGGAAAAAAAAAAGATGCTGGATGTATTTGACCGGAGAATAGCCAAGATTCTTCTTCATCTATTATAATATATTATTATCATTTTTTTTTAATTTAATACGATTTGAAGCATCCACCCAAGCATGTCACAGCCGAGTTTGAACCAGAAACTCATCTATTACGATTTTGCGATATATTATTATCATATTTGGAATTTTATTATTATTCAAATAACTGTAATTAAGTTAAATAATACAAATCCTTACAAATATAAAGGATTTGGCTTCAAAAAATATTTTTAAAATAATGTTGAACCATCACGCGGGTATTTTCTATATGATACTCCTCCTGTCCTTAATATAAGACCCATTTAACTAATTTGATTAGATTAAGGAAGTTAGGTAAGTTAGTTAATTATAAGAAAATTGACACTTTTTTCCTAAAACACCATAATCATCTTTCTTAATACCCCCTCTCTCTTTTACATAATTATGGTTGAGGGAGTATCTATAGGGGTAATTTAGAGAAAATTGATAAATATGAGAAATGGGTCTTATATTTAGGATCAAAACTAACTTAAGAATTGGGTCCTATATTAAAGACCGGAAGAGTATTAGCGAGTAGCGACAATGTTGAACAAGTTTGCAAATTAATGGTTATCGAATAGAAAATACAATAATTTGCAAGGATTGTATGGATTAATTGGCATTATTGAATTTGTACACCAGGTTAATGGTTATCGATCAATTATCTTAATGAGAAATTTGCAGTAAACTAATAAATAGAATTACATGATTTAATTAAAATTTCACTTATCCCCCCCCCCCCCCCCAAAAATCTTCGTCCAAATAGATATGTTACAAATAAACTATGACAGAAACTTGTGAGTTCCAAGCTTAGCCCTTTTTTAGACTCTACATAGGACATAAACCTTGAAATACACATATTCTTGAGCAACGTTAAAAAAAACCTCATATTCTTGATGGCCAAAGATAAAAACCGAGAAAAAGAGAAAAACACTTATTCTTAATAAACTTTCGTTCAATATGATTAATACAAGAAACATAAACTTTAGTCACTACACTGATGGTATATGTTACCTTCATATATACCTCAATATAAAAGCTAATTGACTAATTTGAGTAGATTAAAAAAATTAGTTAAGTTAATTATTTGTAATAGATAGGTATTGTTTTTCCTAAAATACCCTTTCTAATAATGTATATTAGCTAGAATTATCATTTGATAAAATTTTTAACACAATGACTACTTGAGGAAAAAAAAAAGAAGATAGATATGATAGACAAAAGAAATTAAGATTTATATTTAGAACTAAATTAAATGTCAAATTAGTTCTTATATTAATGTCTATAAGCTAATTTTGTTGAGTTTAAACATCGAATTTGACATCCGTTTGTATGAACAAATCCACAGAGATTCCCATGCAAAACGCGTTGTTTCCACTCATAAACCTTCCGATATTCTAAAACATTTAATTTTATAATTTCCGAAATTAAAGTAGTCCTTGTTATTGTTTACAACCACAAGTGTGCTTTTCTACTGTTTTAAGATTTTTGTTGGAATAACATGGCTCTCGTTTTGGACCACCCAGTTACGTTTGCTAGCTGCAAGCTGTCATTTTGTTTTGTTGATCACCTTCATTGAATTTTCCTTGTGCTCTACTTTATATTGTTGACCACAGTACACAATTTGGTTTTGATAAAAGACATCTTCTAAAAGGTTTCTACATTCTCAAATATAAGTTACTTTGCAAAACGTTAATAGCATTAAATTCTTTCATTTTCTTTACACAGATGCCCTTATTAGCTGTATTATGAAAAGAGATATATATGTATTGATTTTAATTGGATGATAATCTCATTAAAAGTAGTAATTTTTCTTTTTTATCGTTTTAATGATGCAAACGATTGTAAGCATTTTTCCTAATCCTTATTAAAAAGCGTCATGTATCAAC